GTTCACAAAGCGCTAAGTCCTGCTAGATGATGGTTCCGCATCCCATTCTTACAGATCTCAGACCTACTCACTGGAGCAACCTTTGGCGGCACAAACGACTCCACATCTTTCTTTGTGATTCTACCATCTGGTCCAGTACCTAAAAGCATCAAAGGAAAATGTAAGAGGATTTCAATTAGTTGCAACAGGGCATCACGAAGCTCTGTTCAACAGAGATATAAGTCACTAACAGTCCCTGGTGGAGAAAGCTGCACAGTGAAGATCTTATCGATACAGAGAAAAGAACAGAACAAGCAAGAACACACCCGGAGAAACAGATACTTAACAGAGAGAGCAGGAAAGGCAAAGGGCACTTTACCTTTCACTTGTGCAAGGTCAATCCCTTTTTCTGCTGCCAGTTTCTTCGCCAGGGGACTAACCACGATCCTCCCTTTCCGGGGAGGTGGCCCAGCTGCAGGGACTAGTGGAGTGGAAGGAACAGCAGGCTGGGGAGGAGGAGCAGCTGCAGCAGGAGTTGCCACCTTAACAGAAGAATCAAAGCCATTAGCTCTGTGATTATTTTGCAAACACCTTAGAGGTTTCACTTCAGTGCCATAAGAGAACAAGACCATGTAATTATCAGTCAAGGGAGTAACAAGAATAGTCTCCAACCTGAAAGTACTCAGAGAAGTTTCCCAGCACCAGAAATTAAATCGGAAACTTTCCCGTGCAGAACACCAACTACAACTGTTGAACTATACATCAAAATGGTGAAATAAGTAATTTATAGTCCAAATTTTCAGGAAGGATTCATTAGAACCGGTACAAGCAACAGGCTGGAGAAGAGACCATATCAAATGATAACCTGCTCCAGTTTTCAGAGGGCAAAGCAGATGACATCAGAAGTGATCTATTCTCAGTGCATGTGTTAGCCTGGCACTCAGAGGATCACAGACATTATTACTGGAGTCAAGACTTCTCAGTCAAACCAACAGAACAGTTTAGATCCAACCAGCAATTCTCAGCAGTCCGCATAACTTCCCTCCCTGGCTACGAAAGGCCCTTACTGGTGGAGGCGGAGGAGGAGGAGGAGGAACTTGTGCCTTCATGTCAGCTACTGCAGTCTCCTGGTAGTCAGCAAAGGCTGGAATATCAGCCTCTTTCTCCACAATGATGCAGAGGGTTGTTCCTAATGGCACGTCTCTTGTTCCTTCAGGCACCAAGATTTTTGCCAAGTAGCCTTCCTCCTGCACTTCAAAGCCTGAAAGAGAAAGAAACAAAACTGGTTTGAAAAAGAAAAATCTTCTCAATGCAACACGTAGGGAAACATCTTTGTGCAGTGTATGTTACTATAAGGGACTGATGGCAGAACAGGTGTTTTTACAAGTTCGAGCAGCATAAAAAAGTAACTCTTTTTCATTGCTTCACATCTTCACGTCCTGAGCAGCCAGAAAACAGGTAGAAGAGGCTACTCTGAATCCTCTCCTTTTAAGGGGCCATCATCCATTCTTGGCTTTGGAGTTGACTCACCTATTGTGGCTTTATCTGTCTCAATTTCCGCCAGTAAGTCTCCTTCATTCAGTTTCTCCCCAACTTTCTTCTCCCATCTCTGCACTGTGCCCATTGTCATGGTAGGTGACAGGGCAGGGAGAGTGACCTGTGAAGCCAGAGAATACAAGTGCATCAGATGCTGCAATCCAAAAGGGACAGGAACATGATTCTTACTCCTGGCCAAATGATGTCAACCTCAAGGAGCAGCCAACCTTTAATGTACTCTTAGATCTTGACTCTGCTACAGCAAAGCACAGTCGTGTGCTGTATCTCTGGTTTGGCTTCTTTTATCAAGGAAAGAAAGCGAGCAAAAGAAAAAAAGAAGAAAACTATACATCAAGGTCATTAGCAGCACCATCACATTGGGAATCTAAAGAGACTAAAAGGAAGGCTGAAGCAAGACACTTTGTCTTTGACAAATATATCCGGCCCCTGTAAAAGCTATACAGACTTGTCCTCCAATAAGCACTTAAACGGTGCTGTAGGTTTACACGTGCATTTTGCAGTGCAATAAACATAGCACATGTGATTATAGCTTTAGAGCAGAACTGGACAGATAAGGCAAGTGAGGGAAATCAAGTTAAGTAGCTGAAATTCAACTCAGATCAAGAAGCAAAATGCAGTCAGATCAAGAAGCCTTGGATTAGATCCCTATTCAACTACTGATTTTTTGTAACACCTCAGACAAATGAGCTTCCACATGTCTCAACTGTGTAACTAGGACATTATTTTCAAGTTTTCTATTTCAAAAGAATGTCTACCATTACCACTCACAAACACATCTGGTGTGCTCACTAGAGTATCACACAATGGAGTTCTGCTCCAAGACCTGAGCAGGGCCTTCAGAGCATATTCACACAAAGTACAAGGCTTGCATATACCAAAACTGTTCAAATCAGACAAATGTAACATTTTTTTCTAGCCTGCAAAAGAATCCTGCAGAAATAAGTCTCTCCTACAGGCAGCTGGGATGCTAAAACAATTTTGAGAAAATAAAACACTTTCTAGGACCTTCCCAAACACCTGCTTAAAGCATGCAACAATTCAAGGGGCTTGCACTCCTGCACTTATACCTCATAACCTCCCACTCCCAACAGAGCTTGTGACAAAATCCCCTAGAGCTAGTAATGCCAAAGACAGACAAAGAGTGCAACAAACCTTAAATCAGCAGCAACACTCACTTACCTGCATGTGAGGAGGGTAAGAGCTGCCAGGAGCCTGAGGAGAAGGCTGAGGTGGGGCTGAGGGAGCTGCGGCTGGAGGGGGAGGCACTGAGGCTGCAGGGGGCACAGATGCTGCAGTATCCAGAGTGTAGTTTTTAAAGGCATCAACATGTTCAGGCCTAGGAAAAAAAAACGGAACATAATGGCCAAACCAGTCTGGTGACCGTCTCTTAACCTTTCACACAGGGCACCCAAGAAGTCCCAAGAGAGAAAATTCAACTCAAGGGTTAGCAAAATACCTACTTTTCTACTGTGATACATATTATGGCCCCAATAGGAACATCTCTTGTTCCTTCTGGTACCAGGATCTTGGCCAAGTAGCATTCCTCCACGCTCTCAAAGCCAACTGTTGCTTTGTCTGTCTCCACCTTTGAGAGAGAACAGGATACTGTTAGAGCAAAATAAAAGTCAAGAGAGCTCAGAGCCCTGCAGTCTGGCAGTGTAGGGTCATAATGCACAGAGTACTGGCAAAGTCACCCTGTCGCACCAGCTATGGGAAAGCATGGTCTCAAACACATTAAGTGTTCTTCGTGCTCAGAGGGGTGAAAAGTGGCAACCAACTCTGAAAAGTTGCTGGTCGCTTGTTCCTAGCAGCGTCTCCAAAACATGGGTTCAGGTGAGGGCAACCAGGGACAGAACCCATAGCATACAAAATGCCCACTAAAAACGCAGCACAGCTTCTGCTCTCAGAATACCTCTGCGATGAGCTCCCCTTCACCGATCTTGTCACCTTCCTTCTTCTCCCAGCGCGCGATGGTGCCCATCTGCATCGTGGGGGACAGTGCTGGCAGGGCCACCTGAGAGGAAAAGGGAAGCATTAAAACCTGTGCAGCCCTGGCTGTAGGGACCCCACTCAAAGGGCAGGGACAAGGCACCGAGGAGAAGCTGTCTGCAACCCCTGGTGGGTCAGGACTGCCTCCAGCCTGCAGGAAAGATCCCAAAACCAGGGTGTCAGGGGAGTAGGAGCAGCAGGGAACCCAGAGAGGTTCAGGGAAAAGGGGATAATGGTGAGGGGGAACCCGACAGTGCTTCCAGGGTCTGGTGTGCGGCAGTTGCAGGGCCTGGCGTGCAGGGGTGGGGAATGAAGAAGAGGTTCAGGAAAAAGCACAGAGGTACAGGAGCTGAGGGAGTGCGAGAAAGCCTGGAGTCCCCTGGGGCACGGAGGGCAGCTGGGAAGGGAAAGAAAAAAGGGAAGGGATAAAAGGAAGGAAAGGAAAGGAGAGAAGATAAGAGAAAGGAAGGGAGAAGGGGAAAGGAAGAGGGGAAAGGGAAAGGAATAGGGGAAGGGGCAGGAAGGAAGGGAACGGAGACGAGGAAGGAAGGCAGGCGAAGGGGAAGGGAAGGTCGCGGGGCCGCCTCTCACCTTCTGGTGTGCCGGCAGGCTGCAGCAGCGCCTGGGCCCGACCCGGGGCCCGGCTGCGGGCAGGAGCCCCCGGGGCCTGCGGGCGGAGCCGCCCAGCGCCGGGCCGCGGCCCGGAGCCCCCGCCCGGGCCCCCAGGGCCGCGCCGGGGCCGATGGCCGCGGCACTGAGCGCTCGGCAGCCCCGCGCCAGGCCGGCGGCCGGGGCGAGGCGTCGGGCCACCGCCCGCCACATGGAGCCGCAGCTGGAGCCGGGGCGCCGGCGCTCGCTGACCTCCCGCTGCGGGCACGGCCCGGCCCGCCTCGGCTCGGCTCGGCTCGGCACGGATCGGCCCGGCACGGCACGGCACGGCACGGCACTGCCGGAAAGCGCCGCGGGGCGGGGCCGCCGCGGAATGGCGGCGGGCGGGGACCCTGAAGGACGGACGCTGACGGGAGCGGGGCCGGCGCAGCGCTGCGGGCATCCGCGGGAGGTGGATGGTCCTCAAGAGGGGGATTTGCTCAGGGTTCGGCTAGATAAAATCCCCGTTTAGCTTCAGTTAATCTCCCGCCTCACCCCAAGCCCCCTCATCCCACACGCCTCACCGAATAAACCCACCGAAACAGAACTTCTTTTCAGCAACACCGTAAAGCTAGCACTAGAACAGCCCCTGCTCATCTCAGTGATTTCTGCACGACTTTTACTTTTCACAGCTATCTTTCCCTTCACAAGCACTGACCAGCCTTAGTTTGCAAACCCCGCTTTATTGAGATCAGGACTTGGGCCGCTAAAACCAACGTTTATGTATCTGGGATGGCAGGAGGTTAGGTACACAGATAAGGTTTTCACCTTCCTTGACGACAGGCCTGAGACCCACCATTCATTTTAAATGATGAATGCAAACTCTATAGAGTTTCTATGAAAATATAATTTTACACATACCATGTGTTACATAACCAAGTTACAAGTATAGGAGCAGGAAAGTAACTTTGAAGAGAGTTGGGTAGAAATACACATTCAAAACAGCAAAAATACAGGTCCTGGGTATGACATTAAGAGCATATTCCCAGAATAAATTCACTACAGTCAGTGGTACAGTAGTGTCAGCCTGATGTAAAAGCAACAGCTTTTGGTTTTATCAGCAAAACCCATCCAAACCAAGGACTTGTAATCTAATACCTCTTATCCCCATTTCTTACCTGCTTCAGACCCCTTCCTGTAAATCACAAGAGGTAAAACATCTGGTGAAGGCTGCAGTGTCACTGCAGGCACAAAGCTGAACCCAAAAAGCTCACCAAACTTTTTGGGAGTGAATGAGGCAAAGCAGGGCCTTCAGCTTCAGTGCCAGCAATGGTAGGAGTCCCACCTTCACTATCATAAAGGGAGATGCATATAGGGACCCAAAAACGAAGCACTGCTACCTGTTCCGTCTCAGGGAATGTCGTTTGCATGTTAGCTTACATGTGACATTAGCACTGATGATAGGTTTGTTGCTGACAACCCCAAAAAGCAAGTCTTGTCTGGTCTTGCTCCTCTGATACAGCCCACTGCTGCTCTGGAGAGCATGTTGCTGAAAGGCTGCCAGAGATCTGGTTCAGTCTTTGACTCATGGGTAGGAAGGTTAGTAAGCATATTAAACATGCCCGTGATTAGCTGCCTGAACTGGCCTAAGAACAAGGCTGAGGCTCCCAACTGTCTCCTGTATCAGCTAACATCTGCTTTATTTTCCATGAGAAAATTGGATGCCTACTGGACAAGGCTAAATTGAACCAGAAGCTCTGATCACATTAACAGCCTCCTGTGTCTTCAGTACTCCAAAACCAAGCAGTAGTATTGAACTGGCAACTGCAGACCTTGAAAACTGTCTCCATAAAGTTCCAGTGTGGGTGTGTGGCTCTTGCTGAAATAAAATTGATAAGCAAAACTTGAAGCAACACTTGAGGAAAAAATTGCAATCGAAATACAACAATTGATTTCAGCATAACAAGCCCATGCTCTCTTTAACAACCTACTAAAGATCATGCAACAGTGAAACAATTTCCAGGGAGGAAGAGAATCTTGTTTTTTTTTCAAGAGATGTGTCCCACCCACCCCCCCGCAGCCCCTGATGAACTTGTCCATTGACGAGCTGTCCCACTGACACTGAAAGTCACCATAACGAGCTGTAGGGCACAACAGGCATGTTGTATGTTGTGGTGTGCCAGTGTGGCACAGGACCAGGTAAAAGCCTTGAGCTTCCTGGACAGTGAAGCAGTGTGGGAGGAAATAGTATTTTTACTGCCTGTACAAGCTGGCAGAATATAAAACCCAGTAGGAGCCAGCTGGAGTTCCACAGTAAAATAAGATCAAGCCCAGTGTTGTGTGAACAAGAGACCATACAAAACATCTCAGCATCCACTAAAAAGTGAGTAAAACACGATATAATGCGTGCAGAAATATACAGAAAGCACTTGCACTGGTATAAAAATATCCACAGTCCTCAGACAATGTAAACTGGTACAAAATAATTCCAAACAGTAACGTATTTACAAAAGGACATGTTAATATAAAACAGTGAAACCAGGGTCACCCTTTCCCAGCCTCATCCACAGCACAGACACGTGGGTAGTCCATGAAAGGGCCACATGCAGCGAGAATGAGCAGAACCTTGACTTGCCATTTGACCTTTTAAGTCAACAGTGTCTGCTGCAGACCAGAGCCAGCGCTGTGTGCGTACAGCTGACTGGCAGCAGAAGGACAGAGGCAGGCAATGAAGGGGGAAAGAAACAAACAAACCAAAATAGAACACAAAAAACACAAGGCTTGGGGATGATCAGGGTGTGCACCCTCCCAGCCAGCCATTTATTTCTTGCTCCTTCAGAAAGCCCAGGAGCAGGCCTACCAAAGAACAGATAGTGCTACTGATAGGATTTATCCCACCGGTGTGGTTATGTTTGGTGGCCCTGGCAATCAGTGGACACCAGCACAGCGATGCCTGTGCACAGGAGGTGACAATCAGTCCACTGTGCTTACAGAGGAGACAGTGGGAGTGCAAAGAGAGGGACTCAACAAGGAGGGGTCCTGTAAGTACCTCGGGGAAGCAGCTGATTCCAGCTCCTGCCTCCCCAAATGAAATCCTTCAGCAGAAAAGCAAGCACCAAGATCCCACAGTCCCTACAGCAACAAAGCAAACCCAGACAACCTCAGAAGTGAGTACAGGAGGGCAAGGGGGAGAAGCAGGGCTAGGAAGCGGAAGCCTGAATTTGGGAAAAAGGAAGCTTTGCCAGGCTGGTGATCTTTGCTTCAGATTATGCAGAAAACCTCCAGAAGACTGTCTTCCTTCCCCAGGTCACACTTCTATACTCAGTCTGGGCTGTACACGAAGTTCCCTCTGCTCCTGCAGCACATGCAAGTCTGAGACCAAAGTTGGCCAAACCTTCTGCTTGCACACTCCAGTGGCTTCTTCTGACTCAAAGGCAAAACTTTACATTTTTGCCATCAGTGCAGACTTATGCACTACTGTGTACAACAAACCAGACTTGAAACGCCCAGATCACCGACTGCAGCACATACTGCAGGAATGGAGAAGCAGGGGAAAGGAAAAATGCACCGTTAAGGCCTTCAGGGTTCTGTTGATAGGACAAAGCAAGGTGTTTCTTTCCCACAGACAATCATGTCAGTCCCACAACGCTGTCTGTGTTTGGCCACAGAAAGTCAGGCATCCATGCACACAACATGCATTACCCGTTGCTTGCAGAGAAAAATCTTTTCTTTTGGCAGCTTGAATTGGACTCCTTCCAGCACGCATGCTTTTTGGTCGTTCTCCGAACTCAGCAGCCAGTTACAGGTTTCCATAGTGACAAGGCCTAAAAGCTTGATTAATTCTCCCCGTGGTCTTCTTCCACCCAGGCCACAATTTTCCCCTCCCAACCAGGAATGATATCATCATCATGGAATACCTGTGAGAAAAGAGGCCAGTCATGTCTGGGGGCTGGACACCGCTCCAGGATGTGTGCATAGCTTAAGAGGCAGGCATCAAGTAAGAGCTTAGCTAGGATTTTACTGCGCAGTTCACCGAATATACTCCTCATCCCTCAGTGAGGCACATCTCAACGATATATTCAGGTTTTTAAATTAAAAAACAAATAAGGCCCCTTCAATTGGTAACAGTCAAAATTTTTGGCTTTTATTTTTTGACAGGAAAGGTAAAATAAAAACAGGAAACACGCCTTCTCTAATCTATCGGACTACAAACCCCAGCTGCTTCTGCAGAACTAGTCAGCTGACTGCTCCCAGAGAGGGTGTCCCTTTGCACTTGTCTTCGTCAATTTGTTAAACGGGAAGCATTCCAATAACCTTTAATGGATCCAATACACACCAACACCAGCCTGAGCTCAAACAGGGCTATAATGCAGTACACAAAGGAAGAGATGCCGCAGTTACCTCTGAAAAATCTTTAAAATAAAGTAGGAGAACATTTTCTGAATAAAACTGATCGGTCTGAAGTGTATCTCATTGCAGCTGGTTTCATAAAACCACTTGAAGAGCTAGAATTGTAGCCTGGGTTTTGCCTAGTGTCCCCTGAGCTATGTCACAGACTGCTTTTGCTGATAGCCTTTGCCCAAGGGGCTCTGCAAACCCCAGGCTGCTGCAATCAAATTCATATCATTGTCCTGGCTGGAGATAACAACATCCCACTTTAGCTCCTTGGAAGTGGAGCTTAATCTACAACTGTGAAAATCGGCAGTCTGTTTGGAGACAAATTCAAAGATTTTATTGGTTTAGAAATGGTATGACCAAGGTCTCCAGGGTTGTGTTGTAACACTGAACCCAATGCTGCCTGATAGTTAAATTCCACACCTACCTCCTCCTTGACTGTGCCAAACTCTGGATCCAGGGCTTTGAAGTGGTACCGGTGGGCTCCTTCACGATCAATAGCTACCTTAAAATCCTTCAGAGTCACTTCCCCTAACCTGCAAGGGAAGAGTTTGGCACTAAACCACAGTACACTGTACATGCTTTATCTCAGGTGTTCCTGCATGGAAGGTGGAACCACAGCACAAGTCTGACTAGGGATCTGGCACCCTAGTCACAGGAATGTGAAGAGTGTGCCCCACCTGTCAACTCCAAGGTCCTCTTCAGAGGAAGAATTTCCTCAAAATTTGCATGAGCCACCTCTAAACAGCCTTTCTCCCTTTCCTTTTTGCACTGACTGACATGAATGTTTTGGCACAAGAGTAATGCACCACAAGCCACAATAGATCTGCTTGGCTGCTTTCTCTTGGAAGTTAATAATAATAATAATAATAAATATATATATATATATATAAAAATATATATATATAAATTAATCTCTTAGGGCTCAAAGAAATGTTTCAGCTAGGGAGTTGTTAATGCACAGGGAACCCTTGCTAGGGGTGACCATACCCAGAAGAGATCAGACTAATGCTTTCAGGGAAACAAGTGCCTCCCAAATCAACGTGAGCAAGGCCAAGCCGAATCTCACCTCTTTGGTATGTTGACCATGAAAGGTGTGAGGGAGCGGTCAGTGAAGTACAACACTTTGGTGCAGGCACTGGTGCTCATCACAGGTGTGCTGTGAGAATGAGGCAGTTCTACAAAGAAAGGAGCACAGAGCACACTCATAGGGGAACAGCTTGCCTCCTGCCACCACGGGAGACAAGAGTTGATGTCAGCATCAAACTTACCACAGCAAAGAACCTGGAGGTGGGAAGATTTTCTTATGAGGGTGGATTTTCCCTTGGGAAGAACCAGGTATTCCTATGCTTACTGGAAAACTTTGCATTTTAAGGTAACAACCCACCCAAATGCATTAGCCTAGATGATTTGCCTAGCACTGCCCTCCAGGATTACTGTCCCAGCAGCTTGCTGCTACCATCTACTCCACAGGCACTCTGTTCATTGCCTCAGCAGTGACAGGAGAGCCTTTCTGGCAGAGGAGAATGAATAGACTCCATCCTACTGGCTGGGCACACAACTACATTATCACTTGCCTTCACTTGCAGATAAGTAGAGCAAAATGCTCTGATTGATCACCATCATTAAGGCAGAAGTTTATCTGTCTCCTCCCACCTGCCCATTCAGCTCGGGCAGGATAGGTGTTTGTGCACAGATTATTCTCTGTTGTTTGTATTTCTCTCCCTCTGGCTACTGCCTTGTTTCCTCTGCCCCTGCAATGTGCTGTGCCAAAAGCTGAAGCAGGGGAAGATTCACATTGAGTGACACTACAGTTTTAACTGCACTAGCATATAGAACACAGAATGGGCACCAAGTCAAATGCTTTTTAATTAACAAATCTTCAGAGCCACCTCACAGACCTCTTAACACCTGAGGGATTCTAGGTTTGAAGCTGCAAGACTCAATTTTCCTCCTGCAGTGGAGGTGATGAAAGTCTGCTAAGGCTCAGTGAGACAGGGAGAGGTACAGCATGCATGCAGGGAATGCATGACAGTGGCTGATCTAATAACTGCCGTTTATGGGAGGAGGAGGAAAACCATCAACTCTTCCCCAAACCCCACTTCAGACTTCTGAGTTCCCCTCCTGCATTCCTCCACATGAAATACATCCAGACTAACCTGCTGCTGGATGCTGTGATGCAGCTGAAAGGTGGCCTCTAAATTTCCCCAGTACCTGGAGTCCCCTGCAACCTCACAGACTTTCTAGGCAACATTTAAAACCAACCCCAGGGAAAAACAAACAAACAAAAAAAACAACACACGCACAAACAGCCTTCATAGTGAAAAGCAAGCGTGGAGCTGCTGCAGCTGAAGCCAGGGAACATGGTGTCACAGAGGGCTGTGCTGTTCTGCATACATGAAAGGAGCCAGACATGATGCAGGAAGCAGGGGAGGAGGCAACTGTACAGTTACATGTCCACTAGATGGTGCAAACCAGCAGGGAAGCTGAAATTACGTTACGTTTCCCACTCATCCCAGGGGTAATTATTTGTCATAATTACTTCTACTGCAGTACTGCCCAAATGGCCCTGACAGATTCCCACTGTAACGGTGCTTTGCAAACAAGCAGCTGTACGTTGCCTCTGGCCCTTTTCCCCTGCAGTGAAGTCTAGCCTGTACAGCAAGTGAATAAAGATAGGAAAGTAAGCTCTGGTAAAGGGAATAAGCTTGGCGTGCCAGATTTTCAAGGGGATGCTATGTCCTAGACTCCAGCTAAGAAATCTGAGCAATGAATTGAGCAGTGGGAGGGCAGGAGCTGAAAGGCACTTACTGGAGTTTGGAGGCCAGGAGTCTCTACACTCATTTGTTGCTCTGCTTGCTGGTGATTTCCCCCGGATCTAGGGTGTAAAGCCAAAATGGTGAGAACAGTGTCACTTCCCAGCTGGGAGTCATGTTGCTGGTAAACTCTGGGTTGTGTGTGAGGGACAGAAATCAAGAGCCAAACACTAGGAAACTTTTACCCTTCTCTCTTGCCTCTTCTGCATCTCCATGCGGTGTAACCGTTCCATCAGGCTGGAGATGCCCTGCTCCAGGCTGTCAATAGTGTGGTGCTGTGGGTCGTGGCCACTGAAACTGTTCCTCAGACTACGGAGTGCATCACGAACAAGCTGCAAGTCATTTGTCTTGCCAAGAGAACACAAATTAATTAGATTATCTCCAGGCTGCTTTCTTCCCATCTAAAGCCACAGGCTTTATAAAAGGGAAAAATAAAAAAATAAAAACAACTTTAAAAGGTAACAGCTTCCAGGATACCTGGAACCTTTGCCTACATCTGGGTGGGAAAATGTCCCTTAAGTGCACTTACCCCTCGGTGGGCTGCAGGAGCAGCTCCTTTTCCTGCTGTCTGGAGGAAGCCATTGCTCTGAGCACTGTGACTGCTGTATGCCATCACCTGTTTGGTGGAAGATGCGTGTGATGCTAGGAATGTTAGCGTTAGGAGTACACCAAAGATCCCAGTTTGCCATCTTCAAAGGGACAAGAGGGTATGACAACTTTCCACGTGAAAACTTTCTGGCCAGCACCTTCTACCAGGTAAATACACTCACTAAGGTGTGTGCAGGCAGTCCTATGGGCCAGAGCACAAACTTCCCCTAGGATTTTGACACAAGCAGCTAAGCCAGAGAGCTCACTGCTGAGATCTTTGATAAGCTGCATGCTTTGTAGGGTCTGCCTGCCTTGGTTAGGGCAGAGACAAAAAGACCACGTTGAGCCTGGCCTCTCTGGGATGAAGGAGATTTCTGGAGATAGGTAGCTAGAGGGTGCTAGACAAAAACATCACTCTGACAGTCTGATGTGTAGACCAAGGCTTCCCATACCTCTTCAGCTTCCCTCTTCATGCAGTGAGCTAGCAGGGCCTCTTTGTGCTCCAGCTCCCGCTCCAAATCCACCTGAAAAGGGAACAGAAGTTAACCTTATGGGCTCATTTTTGTGCTAAGTTGATGCTCTTAGGGCATCGGTGCAGCCCACCTGATCCATACCTGCTGGTAGCTGGCCTCAGAAAGCTGCCTTAGCATTTCATCCAGTTTGGTTTGATGCTGCTGTAAGTGCCGATCCTTCTGGCCCAGTTCCTTCTGTAACACAGGAATCAACGGAACAGCGAGTAAGGCTCACAGTCATCTCCCTTATGGCAGGAAAGATTGTGTATTCTGCCAGGACCAGGCTCCTCTACAGCTTGACCTACACAGTCTGTCTGCTTTTAGCTAAATGTTTGATCAGAGTTTCAGAGCCTTGTTTGTCAGGTCTTTGTTGCCTGAAGTCCCCTTGCCAAACAAAGATCCACTACTGAGGCCAGACAACTGATGCAAAGAAAAGAGATTCTTGAGGGATCAGTAGGTGATCAAATTACAGAACCTAACCTGATAGGCTTGTGCACACATTAGACATTCAGCAAGCCATCACAGAAAGAAAACACAATGAAGAATCCACTATCAAAAGCTATCTGACCCCTCCACCTCATTACAAACATCCATGGCTATTGCCATTTCTTCACCACCCACAGTGCCACTCTCAGAGGTGACTGAGTGCCAGGAAGACAACAGTCACGTTCACAGGAGAACCATCAGATGCTGCCCCAGCAAAGCTCCCAGAGAAGAGAGGTCCATTACTTTGTATTCTGCCAACAACCGGTTTCTCTCTTCAACCTTCCTCTGAAGATCAACCTGCAGAGAAAAACAGATAGGTGTGAGGTCTCATATTCCTTGGGAGTTACTGCAAACCTCTTTGCTCCTTGCTAAAAGAAGACCAAACAGCTGCAGGGTTTGAGGGAGCTGGTGTTTAAGGACAGCAACCCTTACGAACAGGGCAGCTCCTTCCTTGCACTGCCTACTCTAGGCAGACACTGCATCACAGCTCCACCTGTCAAAGCACCACTTGCTAAGCAGGGAGCACGATGAGGAAGGAACAATCCAACTGCACTGAAAACATCATGGAAAGCCCCTCCCTGTCTCAGCTGAAGGCCTTGGAGGACAGGAAGTGGGAGTGAAGAACAGGGAACTCCAGCAAGCCGGACAGCTGGCAAGTAGCCTGCAGTGTTTACTGTGCAGAGACCTCTGACTGGTCATTCCATCTCCCACGACCCCAGGAACTACGCTGCAACCACCAACTTTATCCTCTGGCTGCTGGAGCCTCCAGGGCCCCCAGTCTCTTTCCAAAATAACCTCAGCAGCACAGTGACTCACATTCTGGTTGTGCAACTCCTCCTTGTCCATGTTGGCTCTCAGCAGCTCCTGCTTTAGCTGAAGAACTGAAGCGTCCTGTTGAGCCAGCCTTTGCTGGAGAGCATCCTAGGAAAAGACATCATCTATAGGAAAAGTGCTTGTATAGGAAGGTGCTGACAAATGCAGAAACCCTTCCGTGGGAAGTCACCTAGAGCAGTAGCATGACATGTTGGCTATGCACAGTGCTGAAGGGTTGCCAAGGTCCTGAGAGAGCAGGAGATAACACAGATGTCTGCCCCAACAGGCTCCTAGAGTCTTTCTGCCTTGCTCTTGCCCAGTAGTGGTTTCCCTACCAACATTTTAGCTGTCTTTGATGGAGGGATTTCTGTGCTGCTGCCTGAACTTCCTGCTCCAGGAATGTCCTGACAACGTGCCCTTATGGAAGAAAATAGCAGTGTCTTCGAGGGTCTTTTCAGTGGCCTACAGCTTGTGTCTCCAGCCACATATCTGCAACATCCGGAGGGGGGTAAGAGGCCAAGGTCAGCCAGGGACACAAGTTAACTTAAGTTCTGAGCATGACCTAATTGTGCAATGAAATTCTCTCTGAAGAGGCCAGAGTGTGGACTAATTCTGCACCTTTCATTTCGTATTACCCAGAAGCTGAGAGCTCTACCTTGGAGAGGTGCTGCTGTCTTCCTTCACAGAAGCCTGACAGGCAGCTCTAAAAATACCTCTGTTCAGGAGTCGACTATGGTGAGTTTGTAACTCTAGAGGGAGGAACTGAACAAACAAGCCAAAAAGGTGAAAAATGCTGCAGCTGAAGAGGACAAGGATGCCCCCCAAGCTCTTTTGCCTCTTGTCAAGAGTTCACTGGGCCAACCCTACTGTGCACACCCCAGGACAGTGGAAAAACAGTCATGAGAACCAAGCAGGAATCCCACGCCTCATATTTTGCTTAGGTGAAAAAGAAAATAAAGGTGACTTTGGACCATAATCCTACAGAGACAGAACCCACAAGACCTAACTCCTTGTGCCTGTCTCAACTGCAGGAAACAGGACATAGGATCCCCCACCTAAAACTCCCCTAATACAGCTCCCTCCCCTCTCTGGGATTCCTCAGATGTGTATGGTTGCTGCTTGCCCTACTCCTGGGCTGCAGCAGTCCCCATAGCTTTACTGTTTGAACTTCACAAAGAGTGCCTTTCCTCACCTTTATCCCCTGTAGGTTTCGAGCTTCTTGTTTGCATTTCAACAGCTCCTTCTGTAAATACAAAAGAATTTGATTAAATGGCATCTTGTCACCCCTTCAAAATCATCTCAAGTCAGTGTTCTCTCTCCCCAGACACATGCTTCAGACAAAAGTACACCCCATTTCTTCCCACAGATCAAAGAGCATGACAGACCCTGAGACCCCTTAATGAGTTACAGACATGGCAAAAAAAAACTGAGCAGCTCTAAGTCCCTGCTATTAAATGCATGAGAAGAAAAAAAAAATTCTTCATCCCCCAAATCTGTCCTTCAGGCCAATGTCAAGTACTTCGCTCCCAGAATCAGAGCTGGGCCTAGAGCCAGCATCAGCAGAAATTTGACTAAGGCAGGTCTGACAGGACAAGTTATTTACTACATTTATCTGCTACTTGTTTTTATTCAGATATGGCTAGAGATTTAACAGCTGGCCAGAGAAAAACATTTTGAGAAGCTACTACAACCTGGATCTCTCCAGCTTCAAGAGCATGCAGGCAAATCTACTTCAGGGTACATTTAAATTCAGGTAATACTTCAATATTTGTTTTCTTAGAAACTGCCTTTACTAGCAGTGGCTTGAGGCAAACTGGGGAAGTAGCAGGTATTTTTCTGATGCTATCCCCACAATTTTTTATTAGCCACTGTATCCGTATAAGTGGTTAATGGATATATGGGTATAATGGGTATGTGAATACAATAAACACCTCCTAGCCAAGTACCTTTAGTGCTCTCCAGGTCAGTGAATTTGGGTTTCAGGTTTTTAGGGACAGATTCCACACAGCAGGAGATGGGAACAGAGCTGGACTCTAACACAACATGCACCTCACCTCTGCACCCCCTCCCCCTGACCCCAAACCTCTTTTCTCTTCATCTGCCCATCCTCTAACCTTTAGGTCTTGATTTTCTTCCACACTCTGGTCCAGACGACTTCGGATTATGATCTGAACACGAAACACCATGGTTACTACTGTGCAAAACACATGTCTGTGGCAGAATGTTACCTGAGGTTGCTCGATCAGAGAAATGTAATCATAGCAATGTGCTCACCAGCTGCTCTTCAGGGCAGGCTCCATGCTCACAAAGTTCAAAGGATCCTTCCTGCTCATCCTCAGGTAAAGATCCATTGAGCAGCAAAGCCTGGGAAGATGAAGAAAAAATCTCTTTAGACAATTCAAAGGAAAATAACTGCAATAACAGATTTGAAGTCCATAGCAAAGAGACTGATCCGTGCTTACATGGTGAGGCTTCTGATTTGGAATGAGACTGAAGTGTCTGTCCCCTGCTGAAAGACACAATTCTAACCACATATTTACAACAGACCTTAGAAACATGATGTGCAGGGAAGCCTAATGCTGTTCTGTGCTAGAAAAGACCAGGACACCTCCAGAAGTGCCATCCAAGTGAGGGAAGAGCCCTCACCCACACAGTGAAAGTCTTAAGCTAGGCCCTGTGCTTAATACTGTGTTTCTATCAGCCTCTAACTCCTTCAGCAGCTCCAAAGTAGCCCATGTTTGCAGAAAGATGCCAGAATTTCCACAGTAAACCACATCCAGCCTGAAAAAGGGAAAATCCTACACTGTAGGAAGTGTGACAGGCATGACTGCTCAGATAGCCAGCAGGGTATGCCGTACCAGTTTGCTCTAACTGGTGGTATTTACATTGACCTTTCTGTCTCTAACTCCCAGGACTCAAAGACATTTGGTATTTGCCAGGATGTTACACCAGTCAATAATTTAATGTCTTTTTTTTTTTTCCCCAGTTAGTTTTCTGTTTTATTTCTATTTGAACTTCACAGCTACAGACAAAATATCCCACTTGCAGCAATATTCCAGCTCAGCTCCAAAAGACGTCAAGGCCAACAGGTCGCATTCTGCCTGCTGACAGAATCTCCCATCAAAGAGCTGCAACTGCTGCCCAACAGCAGACAGACAACAATCTGTATTCAGTTAATGCAAAGGCTCATTGGGAAACTGTTCTGTGAGGGCATCCCAAAGCCTGCCAAGCAGGATATTCAAGCAGGAATCAGACAGGAACAGAAAAAACTGTCATGGTTTTAGCTCCTTATGCGGCAGACATACATCAGGTCCCTGATATTTCAATCAAACTCTTGTGAACTGGTGGCTGTGAAATACTGAGCAAGAAGGGGGAAGAAAAAAAAAAAAGATCAATTAATCAAATCCAATTTCTTGGCTTGCAATAACAGCTGCATCTTCCTGCTCCCACGGAATCAGGGGGCAGCAATGCCAGCTGCTCGCCCTCAGTCCTGAAAGGTGGGGCTAGGGTGGAGGAGCAGGACATGCCAGTCCTTCCCAAGCTATCTCTCCCTGCTCCCAGTGGGCACATAATGTGAGCGGATTTTACCAGTGCACCAAGCATCTATTTTCTTTTGGAGCCTTTTGTCTCCTTCCCATTGTCCACGGGGAAAGCACCCTCCCGGCTGCCTATGCTTCTCACACAATCTCTGCTTTGTTTACTGGCACATAAATATTTACAATTGAAAGCCAGTATGGTTCCCAGCACAAACAGAAAGGAATATTCCTGAGAGAGTTCAGGGTCTTTACCATATGGATCAGAGGCTCTACTCCCCATGCAGAGTCACACAAACTCACACAAATGCGTTGGGCTGAGGGTCACTTGGTCAAGGAGGGACTGAACAGGGTAGTGAGAAAAAGGTCCCACAAATAAATGATCCTGGGAGGAAAACGTGCCAAATATTATAGTTCAGCTCAGCTAACTGAAAGACTGATGCAAGCCTGTGTGACCCCTGATCAGCTCTGTGAACTTGATTGATTTCCCAACATTCCTTGTCTCCCTGCATTACTTCCGATCACAAATCACAGAATGACTGCTCTATTCTTCCAGGCTGCTAACAAAACCCACAGGCTGCTAAGTGTCCTGGGGAAGAATGGGAGCCCCAGCCCATGGGAAAATACTGCTGCATCTTTATCATTTTGCACAGTAACATATGTGCTTAGTAGGGTGATAGCGCACTCAGGGCTTAGCATAGCATCACAGGACAGGGCACCAGGCCAGCAAACCCAGCTACAACCTGGACTCCAACTGAAAGACAAGCTGATAATAATCAACTTCTAAACACAGGCTTTGTTCTGGCTTTTCCGCAGGCGTTCCTTTCTTACCTGCATTTGGTGTGCCCTTAAAATCTACCTAAATACCACTAGTCAAGACCATTGGCCTTTAGTCTCCATAGCTTTATCTCTCTTTCTGCAGCCCTCTTTTTCCCTCCCCACCAAATATGAGCCTCAAATTACATCAACACAGTTTTGGAGAAACCTGAACTAAAACCAACAGAAAAGGCTGTATCTGAATTGCACAAACTGATGTTAGATTCTTTGAAACACTGGTAAATATGCAGGCACTGGGGAAATTGCAGCCATGCTTCCTCCCAATCTAGTTTCTCTTGATTAAGCATGGTATATAATGACAGGGAACCTCCTAAATGTTGCAGGTAAGGAAGATATTAGAAGATATTAGAGTGTGTATTAGGTGCTTATGACAAAGCACTATCAAATACTCCCTTGTTCCCAGGGAAGTCATCCCACAGGGCAAGACAGGGAAGAGTCACTGTCCCCACTAACTGACTTCTGCACAGTCACTGCAGGAGACCTTACTGGGCCAGAATTCTCACTCAGCTGTCAAGTTCCAGGCCAGTGTCTCAGCTGCAAGATAACCTATCTGCCAGATAGATTTGGTAGGAAAAAAAAAAAAAAAAAAAAAGTATGTAGGGGAAATCTGGCTGAAAAGAAAATCTCTTACCTGCAAACCTGATATCATCTTCTTTGCTTCCTCCATTTCCTTTTCCAAATGGTCCTGTTGTTCCAAAAGCTGCTCCTCCCATGAATTCTCCAAATGTGACACAGGGTTCCCTGCTTGCCAGTCAGGCTGGAAGTGAGATTCTGTCTCTTCTGGAAGAGAAACAAACTGAATGTGGTCATGACAGACAGTGATCCAAAAGAGACTTGCACAACACAGTAATTGCCTGCTGTCCACAATGTCAATCACTGCCAAACTAGCATGTCTTCTAGCTGCTATTTATGCCTCATTCTTCACACAAAGGAAACTTTCCTGAGCACACATAAATCAACGATGATTGGCATCCTCCCTCTTCATTAACTTGCTGGATCTGATGAGTTTTGATGAGGACTAGTCACAGGAATACCTGCTACCTTGTTGATGAAAGATGAAACTGGCCAGTGCTGTGCATCCACAGACATGCAGCTGCAGTACCCTGCGGCAGGAGCAGCAAGAAGACACAGTGCTGCTGCCAAAAATACAAGGAAGAGCCCCAGCCTGCCAGCTACCCCACCTGCTGAGGTGGTCATCAAATACTTTCAAAGGAGCACTGAGGTAGGCTATACTGTCTGAGGTAGCAAAGCATTTCCTAGGAGAGCTTCGGTTGTTTGCTCTTGGGATGGAAGCTAACCAGGAAGGGCTATTATTAGGCTATGTCCCTGAAAAGAAAAACAAAAAAAACCCAAAACATTTCAGGAACTTCTTCAAAAAGACTTCCTTCAATCTGTATGAAAATTTCAAATGCAAACTGACCGTATCAGAGGGCAATTGTGGCAACACAACGTTGAGTTCAATGCAAAAGCCACAACAATACTTCAATAGTTCAATTCCTTGCGAAGAGTCACTCAACCTATGTACCGACACACTGTACACACAGACCCTTACACAAAGTGAAGTTCTGCATTATGGGCTTTACAGTTTTCCATGGACTGTGTCTTTAAGGGGATTTGAGAGTTTTTTTTTCCTCCTCTCAATACAGCCAAATGATGCTGTGATGAAAGCATCACCCTACCGTGAAAGTTAAACATGCCCCCTAATCCTTCTCCAGAACTTTTGTTTTCCAAGCATTAGCTAGCAAGCCTCACAGACATTGACTGTACAACTGTTGCCAGATATGGCATCACTGCAGTGCTCACAGTTTTGAGATTAAGGTTTACAAAGCAATACCCAGCAACCTATTCTCCACGTTCATTTCAGTCTCTGGGGAACTTCCCAGCAAGTTTGTGATGCAATCAAAACCCAGTAATAGTGTGAGCTGTGAAGCATTTTCAGCAAGCTACCTGTTTTACTTTCTGTTTCTTCAGTGTGGATAATCGCATATCCTGCTTTCTCCTCTGACGGGGTTACAGTGGATTCACTCTTTGTGCTATGGATAGGACTGGGTGATGCGAGACTGCAAAGGAAATGAGAAACAGTTATCTCAGAGTGCTGATCAACATTACCCTTATCTAAGATAAAAGTAAATATGCAGGAAGTCTTGTTGTCAGAATTATCTGCATACCAGGGAAGCCAGTAAGAAACCAAACTTGGCATCTAACTTTTCAATCACTCTACATCAGTGTGACAGCAGGCTGTTAAGCAACCCAATGTGTCTCTTCATTTTCCTTAACAGAAAGTTTGCTGCTTCCACAGAACTTAGAAACACTCACGCAGGGATGAGACCACTCTTTAAGGTCTGCTCAGAAACAATTTGCTGCAAGCCTTCTATGCATGTTGGAAGCTAAACAAAAAGCCACCCTGCTTTCTTCACATCTCACCCCCGGGTTTCGAAAGCACCCCTGCAATCAGAGAACAAACTTAAAAATATTTTGTTCTTGGATTTTCTAGTCAGATAACACTCATTTGTGTTCTTAGGTTAAAAGTTGTTTAAAGTACCCAAATATTTTCAGTGGAGTCATCTCAGCTGACTGTGAGGTCCAAACACAACCTTTTTTTTTCTGAAATTCTTCTTACGCACATCACCCAGACAACAAGACAAGGTGGCTGAAGCTCACTGACCCATTCAACATACCTCCAAAGACTCAGGAACTAATCCTTGCTAGTGTGAGCAGGAGTTAAGTTTTCATTCTCCACAACACAGAAACAAAGGGCAGAAAACAAAAAGGAAATAATGTGGAAAAATAACAGAATAGGTTCAGAAAAATAAGAAGTTTCAGCAGCTTGCCCTCCACATCTTCCCAGCACTGCTGCTGCATACTCTGCAGCTCTCCCAGAATCTGAAAAGCCTTGCAATCGAGATGAAAACTACTTGCTTGCAGCTCTGTCTAGTCCACTCCCACAGGCAGTGCTAGCTGAGTTCTCATTTATGTTACAGAGCTTCAAACCATCTAGTTTAAAAGGTCCAAACTGAATGGACATTCACCACGTTAAAGGAGGAGATGAAGACAACTTACTAAGTGCAAGAATGACCACCTTCTAATGGGAATCTGTAACAGTCACAGTACCTGTCCTGTCCTGCTGAAGTAGGGTGTGTGTGATCATTAAAGGCCTCCAAGTCGCCTGGCTTTGCTCAAAGATTTACCTTCAGGATGACTAACTCCATTACAGCACTCCTTCACTAGACACACGTTGTACATGCCACTTGTAACCAGCCGCTTGCTCCTGCTTGCCACTGAGTGACACAGTGAAAGTGCCACTGAAATGCACTCGGGTGCCCGATGAAGCAGTGCCAGAGGTCAGGTTGCCCCACTCATTATCCCATCAGTGAGTTAAAGCTGAAAACATTGCTACGCTTTTTGTATCAGTCACCAAGCCCGTCCGAGGATGAAATATCCACTCGTGTGATTTTCTCTTTAAAGTACATCACAATTCATGATTAGAACATGCAGAAATAAGTGCTGGGAAATTAAAGCTATTTAAGTTTTATGATGCAAACTGTTCCACTTTATTCCTTTTACCACTGTTTGGCTTCTTAACCCATATATCCTTGCTCAGCCGAGTCCCAGAGCTGTCAGTGCCTGCAGAGTCAAAGCTTTAGGGAAACAGCCCCAATGATGAGCACAAACTCCCATAATTTTAATAAACACCCCACCCCTGCTGTTTCAAATGACAATGGCAACAATCGCTCACCATTTGACTTGTTTCCCTCCCATGATCCCACTTTAACCTTTCGCCTCACAGGATCTGTTTCCTGGGGAGCCTCAGGATGCTGGCTACAGACATGCCTCGTCCCTCCACCAGCTCAGAAATTCAGCGCAGAAGATGCCAGCTCCTGTCAAACTACCGGAGGAGTATTTGCCAGGCAGACCTCTTCACGTTAGCTTGAAAAGATTCACAGCCGAAAAAAACTCAGGGTCTTTGCAAGAAGCCACCTGATGGCAGATCAGCAGTCCCTGTGCACAGATTTGCTTCCAGAGCCAGGGGAATTCTGCAGCCCGGGTTTTGCTTTTGCTGATTTTCCTCTCGGGTTATTTGTCTCTTGCTGCTGCATTTTGGTCAGCCGCACACCCAGTTGTTTGCATCACCCGGACTGATCTGGATTGCCGGTGGCATTTCTCAGCCCATTCTGCCCTCTTCAGATTCCCAGCACCTGCTGCAGATGCCAACCAAGTGTCGAGAGACGCTGCAAGCAGTAGGTTCCCTGCTCTTCCAGGCTCGGATGCTGCCTCGGAAGACGGCATGCAGCACTTCTCAGCCCTGTGCACAGCTTCTTCTTGCTGCTATCTCCAGCTCCCTCTCCCTCCTGCTGTCACACAGGCTGTGCCTTTTCTCCGAGCAGCCTGGCTCGGAGTGGGGGAGGGAAGGAAAGCTGGTGGAAGGGGAGGAGAGAGGGAGGAGGGATGCGTGAGGGGCTCACTGGCCTGGGAATCAGGCTGATTTGGGAAAATTTTCCATGAATCATTTCTATTGCCTTTGCTGATTAGAGCTGCTATCCCTGGAAATCTGCTCTTCAGGCTGTGAGCTCTCCGAAGTGTTACTGCAGAAACGAGCCGGTGCCAGGCCGGACATGCTGCCCTGGGACGGATCCAGCAGCAGCACCATGAGATGGAGGGGTAGCTGCTGCTGCCACAGAGCAGGGGCTTCTTTCTGTGGCTCACAGCTAGGCTAGCACATTCCTGGCTATAAGGGAAGAGAAAAAACATCTTGTTTTCATCGCCAAGCCTGGTGTCTGCAGAGGACAGCCCCAGGAGCCGGAGGTCGGATTGCTCCCAGTTTCTGTTAGCAGATCACCGGCCGAAGCTAAGAGCAAGCCCAGTCCTTGTGAGCACCAAGGAGCCAAAGCAAAATACAGAATATTGCTTCTGTTGAGCCTTATTTCTGAGCACCAGGCAGTGCCTGGTGCCCTGTAACAGGACAACATATTCCCGATTTCGTAAGGCTCAGTATAAATAGATTCTTCCCCACTTGGCAGTTCCTCCCGCAATTCAGCAGTCAACCTCTGTGTTTGCAATTGCTGTGCTTCTGGTTAACAGCATCGGATGCTTTTTCACCACAAAAGCCCCAATCTGTTCTCTCCTTGCTCACACACAAGTGCTCTGACTGGAGGCTACAGAAAAAGTTCTCCTGTCTGGCAGCCTGGAGCTGTTCCCCAGCTGAGCCCTGCATGCAAAAAAAACCAAAAAACAACAAAAACAAACAAACAAAAAAAACAGCAAAAAAAAAAACAGTATCATTACCCCAGCCCTCAAAGCTATGGTCTCACCCTTTGAGGACAGAACCAGCACCTTGTGCATCCCTCCCAGTCTCTCTCCTGGGCCTTGCTGCTGCTAGAGACAATGCTGTTTCCAACCCACATCCCCAAGGTAGCAAATCCACACGCTGGATGGGGAATATTCCCGCTCTCGAGATATTGCGATTAAAATTTAATTTTGTCTCACTGCATATTCCCAGCTTTAATTAAAATTGTTTTAGCTCCAGCTTGATGCAATCTCTGATCATTTCCTGTTGAGCTCACAGTGGCTGGCTGTGCATCCCCATAGCACAGGATTAGCAGAGCTCTAGGAGAGGAAAAATACCAGGCAGGCTGCAAAGGCTCGGGGCTCCCTTCTGCTCCTGATCTGTATGCGCACAGAGTGGATCAAAAACGATCTTGGGCTTTCAAGATCCATAATTCCAGATAAAAAGCAGCTCCCATCAATGAAATTAACCAACATAAAGACTGTTTGTCTGCTTTTTTCCTTACTTATTCCCGAGCTCCACATACTTAGCTTTTCTAGAATGAGAGCACAGTAAAGCTTTGCCAAGCACTTCAGCCCTCACTATTTCGGCCCTGGGCCTCTATCCACCCACATCAACTCACATCTGGAACACCTACAATATGAACCGTGCTCCAACGTGGAGATGTGCTATTTTGCCCTGGAAAACAAAACTGTTTTTATAAGTTCCAAGGAGAAACAGACTAAAAAATAGAAGAATTCTTATTGAAAAAGAGAAATCAAGATAACTCACTGTAGATTTTTCAACTACATTGTGGAACATGTTCTGAATTCACGTTAAATAGAAAATTGTGGAAGTTAATTATTACATTAAGGATCTTACAGTGTTATTGCCCTATCAGGGATAGTATCACCATTACCATATGGCAAGAGAACTCATGGCATTGTATGAGAAAAAACAAAGCAATGTAGGATGTGCACATAAAGTTTCATTCACCAGCAAAATGGAGTCACAAACAGATAAACAACTGTTGTCCAACAATACCTGATACGGTAGGAAAGTACCTGTAAAATAGGCTACCTTAACCCGAACAAGGAGAGGAGGGAGGCAACAGGTGTCACTCACTGTCCTACTGAGATCACAGTTCAAGAATCAAAATCAAAGTCCTGTGACATTCATCAGCCATGAAACTGTGTGGCCAGGACCAGAATTTTTCCATCCTCCCTCGAATGACAGCTTCAAAGTCCACTCTCTACTGACATCATGTGGAGGCAGCGGTCCAGTACTGGCTCACACGGAGTTTCCACACCCATCCAAATGTTTATGTCTGTATTTAAAGCAGACCTCACACTGATAAAGCAAATTTTGAGCACAAGTACAAACTACTCTTTTTTTTTTTTTCCTTCCATCTAATCTGTTGAACTAAGTGACACTAATGCTTAGGTACACAGAGGCCTCCTTGCACTATGGGAGCATCAAAAGTGGCCCAAGAAATCTTGTGGAGAAATCCTGCTTGCTGAGAAACTATCAGGGCCAATCTGCCCCAAGAAAATCAACCTCCTCGCTCCTGCACAAGAAGGGAAAATAAAAGCGCCCCATTGAGGCACTTTCAGGGGATGGCCCAGGCAGGACAAGGAGGCAATGGATGAGAGCTGGTACTTACATTGGGGTTAAGAAACCGAATCGAAGATCTGCAGCCATGCCCATGCAGCTCTACGTGTGTTCCAGAAGAGCTTAAATGGAGCAAAGCATCATACCCAGAGGGAGAGCAAATATGTTCAGTCATACAGTCTTGTTTGCAAGCTAGTCTCTAGTTCTCCGGGGAAAAAGGGAAAGGCTGTCTTTTACTCAGAATATACCCACAGTAAATCAGCTGCTACGCCACAGTACAGTTTTTATTCTGCTGTCCCTTCAGCTACACTCTCTCCTATATCCATGAAAATAAAACAACATAGCCACATGTCCTCCTTCTCCTCTCACTGCTCAAGTAAATAGGGACAAGAGTTTTCATTTCTGCCCCAAAGCAAAAGGGAGTGAGAAGAGTCTGTAAGGCACCACTGTAATGTGTTGTGACTGGCACACACTGCCCAGGTTCTCATTGCAAGTCATACTGTCTCATATTGGAAATACGTTATATCCTGCCATTCTAGCCAATCCTGGGTTCTACAGGTCCTATTTTTTAGAAACCCTCCGCTTACCCCAGCCTGACCTTGCTTAACTTGGGCAGTCAAGAATCGCAGTCAAGGCTGCAGACTGTTTATAACGCAGACCACATACTTCTCAGGATCCAAGTCCTACTTTAAAGGGCAAAGCCAACTCTCACATAAACCGTAGTGAGCTCTGACTTTTGGGACTTCACACTTCACAACAGCATGCAGGAGATTTTTCAGTTACATAATTTAATGTGAAAGTCTGGGGGATAGAAGGCTAAGTGAGATACCTGTAAATCTAGAGACAATTAAAGGTGATGGATGACGGCACGATGGCAATGAAGACACAGCTGCAAGTCTCCTCAAGACTGTAGGCTTCGATTAAAGACTGGTGTATTCCTGTAACTACTATTCAAATCCACATGCCTGTCACCTCCATGTACCTGTCACCTTTAGCTGTGTGTTTCCGGATCCTATTCCCCTGATCTCCAGGAGGGACACTTGGAACAACTGTAACTCGGAAGTTACAGTTCTTATCTATCTAGCTCTTATCTATGTGATTGCATCATGGATGAGACCAATGTCATCTATGGAAAAAATGACAGTAAACCACTTCTCCATGCTGGTTCCCAGGGTTTCATTCTCCTGATCAGACAGGAGACTCTACACTGGGAATCCTCTTTTCTTTGAGAGCTAATCAGATCACAATGACAAAGGGCATTTTAAGGAATGCCAGACAAAGGAACACAACAGGACAAATCTGGGCAATGAAGTTCCTTACCTGGAGGAGTGGGACTCCAAGGCAATGTTCTGCTGCCCTTCGTACTGCTGCACCAGTGCCCGGACACTCCAGTAGGGGTTTTCAATCTCTTCGTCCATGCTGCTGTTTCTGGAGATAAATATCACAAAATGAGTGAAGCCTCATGAAGAAGGAGCAGGAATGCTTCTGGTCTCCAAGGAGGAGGGGAGGAAAGCTAATGAATGGAAGGCAGGAAGGGGGGAACCACTAGAAAGCTTCCCATTAAGAAAGTTCTCCCATTAGGGAGCTTCATCTCATCTTCTTGGTGTGAGGGAAATGCAAGCAACCACAAAGTCCCCTTGTAAACTCAACCCTTAATCTGTGACTAGAAAAACAGAAAAGCTCTGTGAAGGCAAGGAAAATAACAGAATCTGCACACAGAACGAGGACTCGCTTTGCTGAAGATCTCCTGACCTGATGAATTTGCAAGAGAAACCTTTAATATTTAATTTATTAACAAAATATACCATTTCGGCCTCATTTCCAAATTACTTCATGGGTAGTCCCTTGAGCCAATCTAAGACGGGCAAATGACCTTCAGCTGTGTAAATGAAACCCTCAAAAGACAGCCATCTGGCTTCCATTTAACTGTCATTACTATTATAATCCACATAGCACCTTTTGCAAGTGTTAAATGTGCTTTACAGAATTACACATTCCTTCTGTACGTGGATCATTTCCCCTCATTATCACCACAACTCCTCCACTTCCATGGAAGAATGCATCAGCTGATTAACAGCACACAACACTGCATCTGCCTACACAGCAGTAAGTGGAACATAGGGGTGAGCAGCAACACAGAAAACCACTTTGTACAACAGGACCAACACCACAATTCTGGCAATAACTGCTCCCAGAGCTGTAAGTAGCACCTGTAGTTAAGGCGTTCGTTTTGTTTCACTCAAAATGGGAATGTCTGCAAGTAAACAACACCAAGAGGGCACTATCCTCAGTATGAATTAGGATAAACGAGGCAGCAGAGCTCCCTCTGGCTTAGCCAAAAGGAACTGTTCTTTTTCTGTGAACTAATGCAGGTCCAACAGTTGTTTTGCCGTAAAATCCACAGAGGACCTGGGATGCCTGCAGTTTTCATTATGAGGCATCCAGCATAGATCAGTTGTCCCTTTTGTTAGGACACCACCAATTTAGGTTTCAGTGAGGCAGAAGTGATTTTTCTCTACATGTTCACTGAATAGGAATACCTTACATCAAGAACTGTTGGGATAAAGAGACATCTACTTAAAAGGGAATGGTGTCCGCCTGATAACACAACTTGACCTCTAATAATCAGGAATAAAAAATCATTACCTCTGTCTGTGCCGGAAAACATCCCGGCCAGATTGCAAGACATCTTGACGAACATCTGCCAGAGCTGCCACCGCCCCTTGGGCCACTGCAGCAGCTGAGCGAGGCCTGTGGCTGGCAGACGACGCTGACGAGCTCTTCCCCGTCACGCCAGCAGCGCTGTGATTCATTGCTCTTCCCGAGCCCGGCTTGAAATGAGCAGCTAAGGCGAGGATCAACCTCATGATAGATTTCAAGTTCCCATCGACAATATCTGCAAGAGGCAAATAAAATCAAGGAGGGTAATGATAACGTCAAGTCCCACCAGAGCTGCTTCTGACCAACGAGCATGAATGTAATTAAACCCAGCAGGACCGTGCCAGTAAATAAGGACTATGCAAAAAAGGACCGTTATAGCACTCATACTTAGCTCTGCTCGTTTTGCACAGAGCAGCAAACCAACTGCCACCAACCGATTCCAAGTTTCATTGCTTGTTGAGCCTTCCCTCTGCGGCCATTTCCAGCTAATAGTCCAGTTAAATGACAGCATACTATAATTGCCAAAAGCTCCATGGATGTCTACAGCAGTGACTGAAGGCAACCATTGTATTGGCAGCCACTCCAATTAGCACACAGGATT